TAATGATTAATAAGATCATTTCAAAATATGCTCTAATCAGTGCTTGACATTAATTACAAGCACATGCATAGACACATGGTGAAATCTCAAAATGATGAATTTGATAATTTCGAAAGATACTCAAAACAAAATTGACTCGGTCCAGGCATAGTAAATCATCTCTTTCAAATTTCGCTATTATGCTGAATGAACGGACATAAATTGTATCATAGATAAATAAATTAGTTAAAAGAAGGCAGATGTTTCTGAGATCGGCAACCGTAACATCGAAAAATCCAGCGCTCGAAATTTGCATAATCCGTCACTTGTCACATTGACTTCCAAATTTGCTAATGGTATCATTGATTTATTGCCTACTAGCGGTATTATCCTGATGAATCTACATATTCATTCCTTCCATGCTATTGTTCAATTGATTCAAATTTTCTGATTTTTTCGAATCATGATTCTCTTCGATACCTCTTTTCTGTCAGGAAATGGTTTTTTGTATTGATGAGTCAGTGAGGTTTATGCTTGAAAAAATTATTTCAGATGAGTAGAATGCATTTGTTGATTGTCGTCTTACAAAGGTTCATCATGTTTCAGTACAATCTGGACGTCGATTTGGCGGTGGACCTCTGACTTCGTCGGAAGGTGGCAACACGGAACGAGAATCTGATCATTTCAAACTTTTGGCATCGGATCGTAATTCTCTAATGGTTGGGGCACGGTGAGTGTTTCATTCCTTTTCTTGTTTCTAATTCAATCGGAAGTGCTCATCAATTCTACCTATAGATGTCTCATCTAATCTTTCTTTATTTGCTGTGACGTTAACAAAAAAATTTCGGAAATGAGTTTGTTCAAAAGAAACAACTTTGTTTCGTTATCTCCTCGTATATTCCTTCTTCAGCAACTAAACGTGCATCGGTCTTTTTGAACTGGGAAGAATATATATCTATCTCTCTTTTGTTGTCGAAGACATGCTCTACACCAAAGTGGCTCTGCAATTTTTATAACTCCAGATATCAGCGCTAGTCCACAACTTGATTCGTAACTCAAGATTGTTATTTTAACTGTTATAATTATAGTAGCCGTTATCATAATAGCATGAATTTATTAACAATTATAAAGCAACATTCGAAATGATGTTTTTGTTTATATCCATCCATTGCACCACACCATTGTTCTTGGCATTACTATTATTCGAAAACGAACTGAACTACCAACTAGCAATAGTAATTCATGGACAAAATTATAGCGATAGTTTATATATGATTATACAAAGCAAACAAATCAGTAGTCCGTAGTGTTTAGTACTCAGAAGAAGTAAATTATGTGCTGTGCACAAAGACAAGGTCATTTGGAGCGTAAGCGTTGTTTGAAGGTGTGCAACAACTCAAATAAAAGATTTACATACTGCCAAAACAACTGACTGCGATGACGACACACAGTAGGGTGCTGCTGTAGTTTGTACGCCTCATCCCATTCTTTTCATCTATCATCTATCGTCCGGCGATCATATTCAACCCAAAAACGAACGATTCAGTTCAATCCAGTTTCCTTAACCCAATGATGAGCACTGACCGCAAACACTTGTGTTGTTCCTCTTAGTCAGCAGTCCCCTCTTAAGAACCTCTCAAAATTACCTTGGCACTAACCACTTCTCATTGCTCTATACCAAATCAATATGCTTACTAACCACTTAAATGATGATGTGACGATAACGGCGTCTGTATTTTTCTGAGAAGATGGGGTATGCATTAAAAAATGTGAGCATCAACAACAAATCGTCCTTTCTTTCGTCAAACATATAAGTGAAAGTAAATGTTTCACAGAATGACATGATTAAAGACGAGATTATGCAGGTTGAAATACCAGGAATATTTTACGCAGCACTTTAAAGAGTATGGTTTAAATTTGTTGTGAATATAAGTAGGGTATAATTGTGACTTAAGGAAAGGTAGTTTCTTGAGGTAACAATAATGTAAATATTTATTATCATGACTATTACTATTATTATTATTATTTTCATCATTATTATTAATGGCATGAATGATGTATCGAAACACAAGGTCACGACCCTAATTGTAGGTATTGCACTCGTATCAGACGCATCACACCAGTTGAACATTGTCGTTGTTGTGCATGTTCAATTCTCCATTACAAATACAAAGTGCAGGGATTTTCTAAAAACAGTTAATAAAAGAAGTTCAGCAATAAAAATTTTAGCAGAGATTGTAACAGTGAAATGAACTGCAATAATACTTCAAAACCATATTCTCAGCAAGAGAGTTCTCAAACAATGATTATTCTCAGTTGGAGTTTATTCAAGTATTCTGTAAGCAAGGATCATTTCCCAACATCCCGATGTTTATGGTATAATGATTAAATAATGCATTATTATTTGCAAATGGTTCTTGTGAGTTGATTATTTGTGCTATGAAGGGAATGACAATAGATAAAACTTTTTAATGCTCATCACCATCATTAACACTTTTAAAATGCGATGAATACTCCTTTAAAATACTCCTCAACTCATTTCACTTCAAAGAAATATATTCATTGAAATGGTTTGCATAAAATGAAGACATTTCGTCAATGATGATACTTGAATACAATATGAAATGCATCACTAATGATGCAACATTTGATACGCATTCAGTGCACACACACTTACATCCATATTTTTATCCGTACTGCATACGAAAACTTTTTAAAAGTTCAAATTTTCTAAAAAGTAAAGGTGGAAAAAAGCTTAGGGCAAATCCTCTCAGAGAGCAAAAAATAAAATTGTGAACAATTTATTCCAAACAAAATATTGTTTTTCGTTGATTTTCAGTGATGCAGTCTATAATCTTTCAATGGCCAGCATGGAAGTGCAACACGTATGTGATTAATTAATTTCTGACAGTTATTTTCTTCTATCATTTTCTGATTTTTCTCTCATTACTGATAAGAACAGTTCGTCGTTTATCTAAAAAAAAAACAGTGATCGAATAGCATTTTAAGCTCAAATCGTCCTTATTGTCCTCGGTATTTCACGTATTTTGAAAGAAATCATTTCATGTATTCTTATTTCAAGAAACAGATATGTAGACGCTCTAGTGTAGTTAATTTCATGAAGTCACTGCAACTGAATATCGTTTTGTTTATTTAGAATGCCATGAGGAGTTAGTTGTTTACATTAATTTGATGAATATATGAACGATGTGTGCATACGGAATTAAATTCCGTGCTTAATTCATGTGTACTTTCAAATCAACAGCTCTGAAGAATTCAGCTCCTGCAAAGTAGATTAGTTACATCAGAATAAGAACGAAAAGTTGGAATGAAACGAAAGATAATTTGAAGCAAATAAATACATTCATTTTAAGAAATAGGAGGACTTAATGATAATCCACAGATGTACAGTGCTCTTGTATTCAAATTCTCATTATTACATGTTCATACATATAAGCTAAGTGCATTTACATTTCAACTGTGGTCATTAATCAATATTTTTCAGCAGATATTTTTGTCGTAATAGCAGTAAATTTGCAGACAATCGTAATAGCAGTAATATTTGATTTGCAGACAATCGAATGGGCACCAAATGGACAAACGGTTGAGGATTGTTTGATGAAAGGCAAAAGCAGAGTATATTGTTTAAATGATTTACTACAACTCATATTTCACTTTTAATTACATAGTTGCAGTCGTTATGTGTACGAATTATTTATTCGTTACTGAACACATCGTACGAAATGTTATTGCACATAATAAAAACGTTTTTGATGTTCTTGCGCTGTTGTTCCATGCTTGAGGAATTCTTCAACGAGTCTGATTTCACCATTGTCTTATTTCATGGCATTTCTGTTATGGGTTGAATGGGTTGTTGAAAGTGCGAGTAAATTGCAAAATTATAATTGTGCGCATACAATTGAATGCAAAAGCGAAATACTTGTTGAACTGAGCGATATTCTTTCACCGAATAAAGTTGTCCTTCAGAATTATTAGTAATAATTTTGTAGGTGGAATGTCACAACTATATCCGTGTAATGGTGCGTCAAACAAATGGACGTTGTTTGATTTGCGGAACATATGCTTTCTCGCCGAAATGTCGAGAATATGTTTATTCCGGAGATGAGAATTCACTGCAACAAAGACGGCAGTTTGATGGACAGGTTCAGTAACTCCCTTTCTTTCCATCAAAATGACAACTTGTACATAAATATCATTTCGAATTTTACTTCTCATTTTCGGTTAATTTGTACTTAATGATCACTTTGTTACGCAGTTTCGTTTTGATTGCTTATCGCTTCGTAACCGTATCTGTCACAATTCATCGTCTCAAAATCATTTATTTTACTTTAATGGAAAAGAAGATTTTAGTATAGGGTGCTGAATCTGCGTTATTTGTTGAAAGTAATGCGAAGTGATAGACATAATTAAATCATAACGTGATTCGTTTGAAATTCTCATATTCTGCAGGCTATTTCACCGTACGATCCTAAAGACAATTCTACTGCGGTATTCATTGCTGAAACGAATGAAATCTATACGGGTACTGTATCGGATTTTGCTGGCAATGATCCGCTTATTTACCGTAAGCGACTTTCTGATGACGATGGCCTCCGAACGCAGCGAGATGACCTCAAAGTTCTTGATTGTAGGTTGTTTTGACGTCCTGTTGTGGTTATTCTATAAGGATCGAATTTTGATGATTATTCTGAGTAGATTGTTTAAGTTAACGTTGAATATACACATTTTTAGCACCGAATTTTGTGGCGTCTTTCGCATATGGTGAACATGTTTATTTCTGGTATCGAGAATGGGCTGCTGAAGCTACTGACGGCGATAGACAGGTCTGCATTGATCACTTTATTCGTATAGTTGTTAGCAATCTTACAGTCATTGCTAGCACGAAAGTATTTCAACTGCATTTGACTTAAACTTTCAAAGGCTCTTTGAATGACATTCAGAAGCGAACGTTTCCTCTAACCCTGAAACATGGTACTTGCTCTGTTATCAAGAGGATAATGATCCTAGCAAAAATGATTCAGTTTGCTTTATATTAGAAATCCTTTGCGAGTTAGTTCATTGGTTCGATAAAACTCATAAAATTGCATGAAAGTTTGTGATAATAAAAACAATGATGATTGATGGAAAAATGAAAATTACTTCTAATTTTTCACCAACGAAAATGGTAGAAGCATGTTGCTTACATATTGTTTCTTTCAATCTAGGTATATGCTCGTGTAGCGCGTGTTTGTAAAGGAGATAAAGGTGGTGCGAGACCAGCGCATGAACGATGGACGTCGTTCGTAAAAGCAAGACTCAATTGCTCTTATCCAGCGAACACACCGTTTTATTTCAATGAACTTCGTCAGTTTTATCTCATTTCGAGTTCATACACTCTCGCCAGTTCGAATCAATTTGATTCCGTTTCTGAATATGCACTATTAGAAAAATTATTGCATTTGTTTCATGATCTAATGAAATCTTCCTGATTGATAAAAAAGTCATGGTAGATGAAACAGTTAGGTAAATTCATACTTTCTGATCCACTGTTCGAAGAATGCCGCATGCAATTAGATTGATGAATCATATCACATCAGCGTTCATTCCTACCAAACAGTATGGAAGTGAAATCATTTTGCAGAAGCCGTTAGTAAACCAGTACCATCAAATGATGACGGTTCAGTGCTGGTTTATGCGGTATTCACAACACCAGATAGTAGTGTTCGAATGTCAGCTGTGTGCGCTTTCCGTATGGATGCTATAAAGCGTTTATTTGATTACGGACATTTCAAAGTGCAGCAAACAGCACAAAGCCTTTGGATGCCATATCGATCGCACCAAATGATTTCCGTACCAAGACCTGGATCGGTTGCTTTTTTATTATTGAGTCGTTGTTAACATTATTACTTATAATCGATCAACTATCAAAAATGTATATTTACCGCATTGGTTCAACATTATAAGATTGATGTATTGTGTATGTTAAATACTGCAATGCATCGATCCAAGCATTTATACGTGCATTTGAGTACCTTTGAAAATATCAGAACCGTCGAACTCATCTCGCTTCGAATTGCAGTGCGTTGCTGATTCAACAAAACTTCCTGAGAGTACGGTATCCTTCATAACGCGCAATCCATTAATGCATGAAGCAATACCTGCAATCCGTCCTAGACCTATCCTGGTTCAAGGTCCCGAAAAAGCCGAATTAACACAAATCGCCGTTGCTCCTCAGGTAGGTAGTAGCAACCTACTGTTGCGTTTGTTATTACTTACGTCGTGATTAAGTCATGTATATTATAAATGTGTGTACATATAAGATTCTATAACTTACTGATTGTGAGTATGCATGAATGATTAAAAAAGATTCATGCGTTACGTTTATATACATCGTTACACACCATTGTTTCTTTTGCAAGTTTGCACAAAGATGATATCTATTCATCAGTGATATTCCATCTTCTGTTCATTAATAATTTAAGAATTCTCAATGATCACACGCTGTATGCTTCAAACAGATCATCCGTAATTAAGATTTTTTACTCATAATCGTCAGTATGAATGAATATTTCAAATGCATTATATGTAATACACATCGGGGACTCTGGCGCGAACTATTCCCCGATAATTTTGCTTCTCGACCTTTTGGTCGAGAATGCTCTCTACCCATGACGAACATTAAATTCGTGTTCTTAAATCGACAAAATTTCATGAAGGCATGCTCAATCGAGGGTATTGGTCGGTTCATGTTTATCAGTAGCATGACGAGTAATGATGAATCGAAAACGTTTTAAGATTCGTTCCGTACGAGGTGTACATCATAATGCATTGTATTTGGGAACATCAAATGGACGTGTTCTGAAGGTGATTGACGTAGTTGATGAAGATACATGTGTAATTGAATCAGTGCACGTTTTTCGAAGGAACGTGCCGATCGTTAACCTCATGGCTACTGCTGATCAGGTTGCTTAGTTGTTGCATAAATGCTTTATTCGTCACTTTTAATTGTGAATAATTTGATAAGTGATATTCAGTTGATTGTGGTAAGCGCGGATGAGATCGCTGCAATACCTCTTCATCACTGCGGTAAACAGCGTACATGTAGTGGATGCGTTCATCTACAAGACGCCCACTGTGCATGGGATTTGGATTCAGCAAGATGTGTTGGACGTGATGACGGCTCATGGACCGGTGGTAATTTCGTTCAGAATGTCCATATTGGTCGATCGGAACAATGCCCTGAGGGTGCTGTAGATCCCGATTATTATGCTGTTGATGGTACCTTAATTATTCGTTAATGTTGTGGCAGATGTGTGACCATATTGACGGCTCACGCTTTCCAAAAGATTGGTAGCGAGGGATTGGCTAGTACGAAATGAACCGATTTGAATATTGAACGAAAAGAATGAATGTACGAATAATCGATACAAAATAAGGGTAGCGTTTGTGATGGATAGATGGAATAATCTCTATTAACCAATAGAGTAAACTAGGGATTGGACACGCTTTTTTAGCCGTGGGCTGGACTGAAAAATTACGAGCTGAATGACCATCGATTGTGAATAGTACCAAATTTTATCCGTAGTTTGTTGACTTTATTTATGAATAAACCTACGAACCGCCAATTTTAGAAGTACATTCAGAACGAGCGACTAGTTCTGATCAGCAAACAGCT